GTAAATGCCGCTCCATCTGAAAGCATGTGATGGAGATTTACAACTAATCACAGAACGGGCTTTACTGACGAGATGCGCATGACAATAGCATTCGATTAATCGTGCAGCCCTAATGGAAAGATGAAAATGTACTGCTTAGAATGACCCAACATCCTTCACCGTACAAATAACCTGTAAGCAGACATTACGTTTCATTTTAAAATGCATCTCCCATGGTACATCTACCAGCCCATCCATTAACCTCATGTGAATCTTGTCTAAAGCCGTGTTGAAGCATATGAGATCATACAGGATACAGAGTGGAGAAAAACTTAATTAAATTCTGAATTATATGTGGTCAGGATTGCTTCATATCCTGCTTTTATTGTGTCTCAGCTGGCAGCGTTGAGAGAGCAAATCATATTGCATTTCTCACCCTCAAGCAGTTTTTAGAGAGTGTTTATTGGATTTATCCTCCTTAATTGGCCATTTTGTCACTGATATAATGTCTGCGCATGGTTTACAACCTGTTGTTTTGCGGTCATGCCTGTACTCTCTTGGTCAATGAAAGCAACTTGGGTTTTGCTTTATAAAAGTCGGTTATAATGATTGTGCCAGGTGTTGGTTATTTGTTTGAATATGAGGTTCCTCCTCTAGGGAGCTCTGTTCTGTTAGAGCAGGTCCTCTAAAGGCCCGTTCACAACAAGGATGATAACTATAACGATAGCAATAAAGATGTAGTTTTAAAAATCATTCTAAATTTAAAGGAATAGCAGAGTCCACACCAACAGTAATGATAACTGCACAAAGGAACGATATCATTGGAATCACTTTCAAAGTGTTTTTCCCAGCTGATTAACAATGAAAACATTGACAGCCAATCAGAATCAGAATTGCAGAGCTGGGCGATAAGGCCATAAACACTAGCACAATATTCATTTACCAATAACGGAGGAGAAAATGCTACCAACATGTTTGTTAGACCTTGAGAATGAACATAAACATAACTTGTTTGTTCACATTTAAACTCCACAGAGTAAGATAGAATTTAGAGCCCCATGAAACTAGTTTTATTTCTTCTCTAAATTCTATTTTATTCTGATTTAATATAAAATTTATGATCAAAAAAGGTGTGATATAAAATATAATGTACAAAAATATAAAGCATTTTAGTATACAGTAGTAAAATATTTCTGTCATAATTTCTTCAAGTTAAACTGAACTTTTATTTTGGCGGTTTGTCGTGAAGATCTTTGAGTTTCAGTGTGTATTTGACAGTAGTTTTTCTCAAATGAAACAGTGAAAAGCTTGTGAAATGACTCTCAGAGTATCTCTGCAGATAAAGTTAACGTGAACTCTCCTCATATATTGAGACAGTAGACTCAAAACCGTGAGCATCGCGTGTTTTTGAATTTGTGTAGTGGATGAAACAGCACAACTTATTCACACAGAGACATGAACATCTCGATATGATATTATTAATCGCCCAGCCCTATGGGGGAAGGTAGTGAATGACGTCTTGGGTCACTAAAGCCCCAATGTAGGTGTTTACGGGTTAATGGCGACTGTCATGTTTCTTTCTTATAATTGAAAATCTGTTTGTTTTCAGGTGTGTCTGATCACGGCCCAGCCTCCAGTGCAAGCAGAACTCCTCCTGAGGTTCCAGCAGCTTCAATCCCGTCTGGCCACTCTAAAGATCGAGAACGAAGAGGTAAGGTGACCCGAGCACCACCAGAAATGGTCAGGAGCAATGGAAGGTACATTTAAAATAGTTAAAAATGACCACCTATACCATCACTTTTGTTCCCTTGAGCACAAAAGGCTTTCCCAGAAATTCACTTTGGATTATAAAGCGTCTGCTAAATAAGAACCGCATCAGACGATCACCAGTGCTGAAGTGATTGTGTTCATTTCAGCTGACGTTGAACTGCATAATTGAATTTGAAAATCTTGTTAATAAGTTAGACAAGTCCAGGAACGCGCATCCCGTATCTTCCTGTTGCATTAGAGCGAGACTGCTTTGCAATGTGTTTGCTTAATTGAGTTGGCAGGAGCTGATCGTAAAAGAGGCTTTTGGAGGACTTACAAGAAATAGTTTTTTTTCCTCCCTGCAGAGTTTTCTCTGTCCTCCAGATAACCTGAGTGACGCGCAGAGAAGCTTCTCTCAGTTACACCGTCTCCCTTATCTTCCTGCAGACTGTGTCTGTCTTTTTAACATTTTATTATCTTAACATTTGAATCAGGCCTTAAGTCGAAAGCTGCTTCCGGAGAAAAACCACTCGGTCAGGAAGATGGAGGAGTCTTTTTGGCTTTATCGTGTCCATCTTAGATGAACTAGTCTTACATCTGCCCTCTTCTTCTTTTATCTTCTTCCTGTTATTTCTCTGCCGTGACTCTCTTTCTCAGTTTTGACAGACAAAATCGCAGTTTGGCACTGAGTGTGTCCAGTGTGTGCAATTGTTATTCCTGCACAGATTTAACATACCTTGTTAGGCAAGCATGCAGCATTAGGAACAGTCAGTCCTGTGTGAATTTTGTTGCTTCAGGCAGTGGTTTTGTTGTGGAGGTACAGTCCTTGGTAGTCTTTTCCAACAAAGAGCCGATAAATCATCTGCTGTAAAGAACGATTGCTCAGCCCACTGTCAGTGTTGTTGTGGAAGCTAAATGGTTCTGGAAAAATGGCAAGCTAACTGAAACGTTGAAGGTTGTAGTATAAATATCATTCTCTGTAAAAAATGAAAGAGGCTCATGGAATATAAAAAAAAATGAAATTTGTTGTAAGGATGTGAAGAGACTGAATGTGGTTCGAATAAATGGCAGACTTAATGTTCAACTACAAATAGAGAATTTTATTAAACATATTCAATTCAAGTTTCAATTCAAGTTTATTTGTATAGCGCTTTTCACGATACAAATCGTTGCAAAGCAACTTTACAGCAAATTAAGTTTCTACAATATTTTGTGCATTATAGTAAAAGGAATACGATTTTTTTTTTCATTTGTTTACAGTGTTCTATTTATTTGTTTGTTTTATGTTCTGAACATTTTCTGTTCACATAAATAATATTAAAAATATTCACATATTTTATAAGCCTACTTTGGGCATTGCTTTGTTAAAAATACCTTTTTTTTCAGTAGTTTTTGTCCCATTTTTTTCTTTAAAGTGCATATATTTGGTTGTTGTCATTTACCAAAATTTGGAAGAATATTGAAAATATTAAAAAAAATCGTACATGAAAAAATAAATAGATTTTTTCCTGTATTTATACATAAAATGTCCTTTATTTGACAACAAAACATCAAACAGAAAAACAAAGCTTTTGCTAAACCTTTGACCTGAAACTAGTGGCAACGGTCATTTTAGTTGACCAAACAACACTGTTATTAGTCCTAAATATCGTCTGATTGTATATACTATATTGTTCTATCACTAGTACTTTACATGTGCTAAATGACAGGTGTTTATATTGACTGGACCACTGACAAGGCCGAAAGGAAGCAGAAGGATGTGAGGTCAGGGCACTTCCTGGTTTTTCCAGATGGCTTAAAGCATCTTTTGACATCAGACCCAAGGTCTGTAATGAACATGACAGGATACTGGACATAGCGTTGAGTCTTAGTCCAGCTGTTTCCTAGAACCTTCACTGCATTAGATGACAAAAGAAATGACTCGATGAATACATTGTTATAGTATAACCGCCGTAAACCACTCGGCTTCGCTTCATTCTCAAACACACCTTCTGTCATTTCAAGCTTCCTGCTTCATCCTTTCATTTTTCTTCAGCAATTATCCAGCTGTCAGCTCTTCTTTTTTCCATTCTTCTTCTCAAGCTCATAATTGAATAATGTAAATAGTGTTTGCTGTAGAGATTAGGGAGAGATTTGAGTTCTCAGAGGAGAATAGACAGTGTTATCTCTGACTTTCTGTCCCACTCCCTTTATCTTTCTCTGCCGCACTTCTGGCCTACTCCAATGGATATTCTGTTCACATCAGGCGCTAAAACCCCACTAAGGCACTGCACGGTTCTCCGTAGGAAGTGTCTGTTTGTTTTGCAGGAGATAAACCTCTGGGAGGCACATCAAACGCTGGGAGATCTGTGTCCTGCTCCTGCTGCTGCGTGAAGCACTGATCGTCTGATCGCGGCCCTCTTGGCTGCCTTTGTACTGATTATCGGGCCCTTCTGTTAGTGCTAATGTTGATTGCCGCTGTGCTACAGATGTGCCAAAATATCATCTTTGTTCAGTGCCATCTTATTACCCCGAGCAGCTTGTTTGTCAAACTTATAGATCAAATAGTCAAAAGAATACTGATGTTAATTGATCAGCAAATTGGCGTTTCCAAATGAGAAAAGATTTGGTAACACATAATCCATAATGCCACATCTTTCCTTATAAGATACCTATATTTTTCATATTTGCAAAGACATCAGTAAATCAAAGTTTCGTGGCATTTCTGTCATGAGATGTGATCTGTCAAGTAGTATGTGGACGACTAGGCTTGAATGACAAAGTCAAATAAAAAAATTACAAAAGCCAAATATCAAATAAAAAAAAGTTTATTGCGTATATAACATCTAAAGACCTATATATACACAGTATAACATCTATATAAAATGTATAATGATCTGTTAAGTATTTTATAATGAAAAAGTAATACTAAAAGTATTGTCAATGCATTGAAAAGTCACATTTTATGAGTGAAACCTGTATCTGTTATTTTGCTATCACTGATATAATATCATATACTATTATTTTGTTAACTTAATGTTTTAGTAATTTTGTTGTTTTGTCATTATTATTATTTTTTTTTAACTATATAGCTTTTATAAGTTTTAGTTTAGTTTTAGATATTGTAGTACTTCAACTTAAACTACATGGAAATGAAATGCAGAAATAAAATAAGTTTTTTGTGTTTAATTTTATTATAGTTCATCTTTAATTTATATCAAGTAATGAATTAACTGTATAGTTAATTGAATAATTTTTTTTTTTTTTTTTGCTTCTATAGTTAACGATAATAACATACAATAATAAATAATTTTTTATTTATATTTTGATTATTTTATAAGTAATTCACACTACATACTATTTCAAAATATGCACTTTGAAAATAGGGCTCAGCTGAGTTTTTTCTTTTATTATTTGAAGTCTAGCTTATATTTAGCATTCATGTCTTTAATCACCTGAGGTTAAAAAAAGCTGAAGAGCCCAGGCTTTTCGAGCAGTTAAAGATACTTTTAAAAATCCCTCTTATTTTCCACATCATTTCATTTGGACTGCTTTCATGTCCTTGAAACTGAGCTCTTCCCTTCCCGCTGCACTCACTTTACCTCTTTGTAACCTGTCTGCCTTTGTTATGGCTCAGCTGAGGTTGACTTTTCCAGTAAACCACATCCTACAAGATAGGTGTGGCATATCATCCATAAATGGCATGCCTTCACCAAAACCAGACCACAGACAGTTCAACGTCAGGAGGCAGGTTTAAACCTGTGATTATCTCTCTGTGTTTCTGTCCCTACAACAATAGGCCGGTGAATCACAAGTAGAGCAGTGACCTGGATCCATACTGTTTTAAGTGTGAGTGCTGGTTTCCATTGACTTGTATGTCATCCTCCATTGATGTGAAGGATGATTCAGCCTAAACGTGACCGTGAGAGATGAGCTCAGTATGTGATGAAACTGCCATAGTTTTATGCTGCAAGTATACGTGGTACACACTGTGGTTGTTTGACATTGCAATCTTGCAGAACACAGTAAAACATAAGCATAGACAAATGTAGACAGTGTTTGTGCAAACAGAAAAATCTGTGTGTGTGTGAGCGCGCTTGTGTGAGAAAGAGAGCATGTCAGCGTGAGAGAAATTTGCTCTTGCGTACTGTGCAACCTCTTTCAGCAGGTGAACAAATGCTTCCACTGAGCGATTTCACCAGCTTTCAACATCTTTTCCCCATTTTATTTTTTTTACCTCCTGCTTTCTCCTTTTTGCCATTTTATGTGGTTAAATTATTACGTCTTTGAATTATTTTAGTAATATTTTAAACTCTCTCTTTCTCTTTAAATAAATAAATTATATATCAAACTTTATTTAAATTCACTTTATTTATATATATATATAATAAATAATAATATATTTATAGTATTATATTATATATTATGCTATTATATATTATATAATATTATATATTAAATTATTATATATCATATAATATTTTATCATTATATACATAGAATACGTTTTATTATTATTTATTACTTTTTTCATTATTTTCTCCTTTCAATATTTTTTCCTCTTCTTTTTTTATCTCCTTGCCTTCACCTTTTCACCATTTTTGTGGTTAATTTTTGTTTTTTTTAGTGCTGTCAGTTGATTAAATATTGTAATTGAGTTTTTATTTTTATGATATGCTAATTGAATCAAGTTATATCAGTGTTTATCAATATCTTCTGAAAAATGATAATTAAAGCATTGAACACGTCACAAAAAAGTGGCTTTATTCTTTATTCATGTTACTGGTTTGCAGTCCACAGCAATTCACTTTGCAATCATTTTGTCAGTCTGTTCCTCTTGGGGTATAGTGGTACAGTTCCAGATATTTAGAACTGTATGATAATGTTGCACGTCTGACACTGGAAAGTTACAGAAATGAATCCTCAAGGCCATCAAGTGAATGATGGTCCCTTAGGTCATCTTCCGCTCCCCTCGCTATAAATTGATTTCTTTGGTCTGGTGTCTTGCTCAAGGCCTGCTATTAGTCACAGAACACATGTCAAGCAGGGACGGTCAGAGGATTTTTTCCCTCCCTGTCTTTTATTCAGTGCTTAATGTGTTTTTCTAGCACTTTTGTTCCTCCTGTTATCACTCTTGCACTGACACACATTCTTATTAATAAACGATGCAATAAAAATATTGGTATCGGTACTCGGTATCGGCAAGTACCAAAAATAAAAGTATCGGTATCGGGCGAGTACTGGAAAAAGTGGTATCGGTGCATCCCTAGTTGCAAGACTATCCTAGAATTATGTTGTGTAATACTGTAAAAAACTATAAAAATTACTGAACTCTTGCATTGACACATGACCGTGACATTCCTACTAAAAATGTTGTCCTATTTCAGATCAAGAAGACCTCAGAGGCCACTCTCACTACTGTCCAGGACATGGTGACCATCGAGGACTATGATGTGTCCGAATGTTTCCATCACAGCCGCTCCACTGAATCGGTCAAGTCCACCGTGTCGGAAACCTACCTCAGCAAGCCGAGCATTGCCAAGAGACGCGCCAACCAACAGGAGACGGAGCAGTTCTATTTTATGGTCAATTTGTGCTTCATTAAGATTTACCAGTATTTATTTTAAATTAAATCAGTCTCTTTATTTAAATGTCATAGGCATGTTATCGAGTTTCACCATTAAACAGGTGCATTATAAGAAAGTTTTGCCAAGATTGGTTGGTTTTGATAGATAGATAGATAGATACCGGTAGATAGATACCGGTAGATAGATAGAGAGACAGAGAGATAGAGATGGATGGACGGCTGGACGGATAGATAGATAGATAGATAGATAGATAGATGGATGGATGGATGGATGGATGGATGGACGGATAGATAGATAGAGAGATAGAGATGGATGGACGGACGGACGGATAGATAGAGAGAGAGAGAGATAGAGATGGATGGATGGACGGATAGATAGATAGATAGAGATGGATGGACGGACGGATAGATAGAGAGAGAGATAGAGATGGATGGATGGATGGACGGATAGATAGATAGATAGATAGATGGATGGATGGATGGATGGATAGATGTCACATCTTGCTTGTAATCTATGAGCACGTTTACATGCACACCAGTAAGCTGATAACTCAAATATCAGCCTATTAAAATAACCAGTTGTCCCCGTTTACTTGCACATCAGCAACCTGACAACACAAGTAAGCTGCGTTTTCATGACTTTATTAATAAATCAGGTTATTTCCCTGACGTCAAAATATAATCATTTGCATATCTGACTCCGCATCCATATGTTTGTCAGATATAATGTTAAATAAAGCTTGCAACATGTCAGTGCGCGAAACTTACAGCTCATATAGGCTAGGCTATTATCCTCTCATGCAGTTACAGATGCAGCGTTTTCACTGAACCATTTCTACTTCTGCTGCACGAGACCACTTTTATCATTTTCTGAGTTATGAAAGAGTCTGCTTTTGTGATATATTTCCTTCTTTCTTTACCCCAAAACGTGTGCACTGTCTGGATGTGCTTAAATCTGCACTAACAAAGCGTTCCTGTCACGTATCGCACATGCGCACTTCAATAATCTGACAGAAAGCGGGTTATTGCGTTTACATGCCATGCAGAATTGGGGTAAGAGACAGAAAACTACCTGTGTAGACTGGTTTATGCTTACGCCGTTTATGACCTTACTCCGATAAAAGAAAGCGGGTTACCGTGTTTACATGACCACATGCGTTTTCGGCTTATTAAGCATAATCGGCTTAAGAACGTGCATGTGAACACACTCATTGAGAGAAAGTTTGACATAACCTAATATTATATTTGATATTATAGATAGATGGATACCAATATGATAGATGGATAGATAGATAGATAGATAGATAGATAGATAGATCTATCATCAGATTTTCATGCAAGTCCTGAAAGTAGACAGAGAACCCAATCAAACAAATGAGATGAAAAGATATACTGTTATATATATATATTGTCATTTAATGTCAATATATATTGTCATTTATTTATTCAGGAAAATTATTACAATATTACATATCTGTGAGCGGCAAAAGTATGTGAACCTCTAGGATAAGCTTTTAATTTAAAGGTGAAATTAGAGTCCATCTATTCAGAGGTGTTTTTAATCAGTGAGATGACTATCAGGTGTCAGTGTGTGCCCGGTTTTATTTAAAGAACAGGGATCTATCAAAGTTTGGTCATGTTTGTGGAAGTGTATCATGGCACAAACAATTGAGATCTCTGAGGACCTCAGAAAAAGAGTTGGTGTTGCTCATCAGGCTAGAAAAGGTTTCAAAGCCATCTCTAAAGAGTTTGTACTCCACCAATCCACAGTCAGACAGATTGTGAACAAATGGAGGAAATTCAAGACCACTGTTACCCTCCCCAGGAGTGGTCCACCAACAAAGATCACTCTAAAAGCAAGACGTGTAAAAGTCCACTAGGTTTCAAAGGACTGCAGGCTAACTTCTAAGCAACTAAAGGCCTTTCTCACATTGGCTAAT